CAGCAGTCTGCACATAGCCTTCTGGCTAAGGTGCTAGCAAGGAATGCTGTATTCCCAAATGTACTGGGGAGCAGAAGAGAGAGCTGGGCGCTGCTTGTCTGTAAGGAGCCAAGCTGCTTGCACGGCTCCCCCCATGGAAGCCTGGCCGAGCGCCTTAGACACGGGCTCCAACCCGACGGACCACCTGCAGCTCATCAGGGCCGGCCGTGCAGAGGGCAGCCAGCCAGGGCTTCCATTGCTTGGGTGCACAGGACTGTAGCAGGGGCAGAGGAGAGTAATCTGAGCTGAAGTGTATGGAAAGAAGTGGTCAGGGAGGCATCTTTGTGTTAGGGTCTGTTCTTTTATAACAGGAGAATCTTGTGGGGGGAGGCGCGTGCAAGGAGAGGGCAGAACTTGTTCACCAAACTTGAAAAGTTTTGTTAGGGATGATTGAATCTGACAGGTCTCCTGGGGGAGGCCAGGCTGCTGCAGCTCCGTGCCCCAGGTCCAGCCAGTAGCAAAACTGACCACGTGTTCCCAGCAGGCCCAGGCACTTGGATACAAGTGCAGAACACATACACACACAGATCGACACAGGCAGACACACAGAGCGCTCGCACGAACGCAAACACCACCAATGGTCTGATACCGTACCCTTCTCTGGTGGTTCAAGGTGAAGGTGTGTTAGTGGGACATACGCGTGGACACACACGCGCGCGCATAAAAAACCCACAACAACAGAAAACCACCACCAAAACCAAAGTGGAGGTCACCAGTGGCAGTGCTCAGGCACTCTCTGCCCCGTAGCTGGTGCTGGACCTTGGTCTTTCCAGTTTCTGGCACCTGGGTATTCAGGGTCTTGATTTCACTCACTCTGGTCTCTCCAGTCACTGGCACCACAGACACGTGGGTGCTCCGACCTGTGGTCCGGCTCCAGTCGCTGGCACTCAGACTCCCCGTACAGACATGTGCTCTCAGGATGAGAACCCATCATCCAGGAAAATAGTTAGAAATGGAATTTAATGAAAAGATAGGACAGACGGTGCTGATCGGGCACGGGGCATGGCCAGATAATTGTTCTGACCAGCCCATTTACAGGTGACCAACCTTTTTTAATCATCCCATCCCTCAGGTTTTTTCCCCACATTGGTACCTCTAAATCGCCTCTTTCCTTGCCTTTGGTTCCTTCCATAAACATCCCATAATACCTCTTGTACAACCATAATTCCCTGGTATCTTATAATGTGTCCCATACCATTGGGCAGCAACCCCTCTCAGTCAAAAGGTGCTCTAGTGTTGACTTACCTCGATGAGTTTTATGGCTAGAAACGGGCTGGGGCTCTCCTGTGACAGGGCTATCCTATCCTTGGAGTCCTTGATTTGGGTTCCCTGCCTGCCCTTGTGCCTCTCTGCTCCTCTGGCCTGTGGAGATGGGCCTTTGGTGGGCTGATGGCTCCTGCGATGGTCCTGGGGGGAGCTGGGCAGGGTGTTATATGGGCTGCCCCACCTGCGCTCTTCCTCTGCGCTCCTTCGGGGACGTGCAGACGAGCATCTAACCTAGCAGGCGGGGTGAGTAAGGGAGCTGTTGCAAGGTTCCTCAGCTATGTGTGTCCCTATTGTGGGTTCAGGAAAACCTTGTAGCAAATGCAACTCTGTAGTACCAATGGACAAGTTATCTCTATTCTAACACTTCTAGTTTTTGGAATGATTGTTTCAGAAATAGAGATTAGGCACACACAATGCACAAGAATGTGTCCTGGGTGAAGTCTGTGGGAACTGCGTACAGAATCTGTGTTTAGTGATAAGACTTCTTGCAATAAATACTAGTATAGATTATTGTTAGTCTTGTTAGGCCTAGGCTTGTGATTCTACATCTTGGTCTAGAAGCTACTGATCGAGCTGAAGCTTGTAAATAGAGGAATTATTTTTTATTGGGTTAAATATTACAGTTCCAAAACCAGATAACCTTTCACAGTCTTTTCACCCATATGTGTGTATACTTATTTTGAGAGAAGGGGGCAGTAAAACATGTAACTACAGTATCACAGGCATACACAATACACAGCTTAAAAGGCCAATTTAATTAATGTAGAACCAAACGAGGATGTTGATGCCAACAGTTCTAACAATCTATGAGATGATTTTGCTTTTTTTTTTTTACAATACTTTTATTCCATAGAAATTAATTTAGCCTTTACATCTGGAATTTATTTGAAAACCAGATCGTAATTATAGGCATAATACTGTTACTTACAAACTTTGGAATTAATGTTGATTCTGCTTTCTAAGGAATGTAATGTCTTATTTTTAATGATTGCACTTGCTGTCGCAAAGAGGATTTGAGTATTCGTCTGTAACTTTTGTTTATTGTATCAGCTGATGCTTTTTAGTCACCAAAATTAATGTGGTATGTTTAAAACATGTTAATAACATGCAAGATTTGTACATGAGAATGGGTAAACGGTGTCACATGCAGAACACATGTGGTCGTAGCATTTAAAATAAGTGCTTCTTGGTATGTGATTGTGACCTCTGGTTACTGGGGTGGGGGGTTATGTGTAGGGATGTTCCAGCAGCTGCAGGATAGGTTTATGGTCTCAAAGAATGAAAAAAAAAAAGAAACAAAGACATATCTTTATCAAAAGAAAGGCGACTTAAACCTGTGAAATATCATAGAGGTTCCTTAAAATCTGTGGTTTGTAGGTGGTTCTGTGAGCTTAATACAAAGAGGCAATAGTTCACATTGATTTTCTGAATCATCACTTGTCCCTCCTGGCTGCTGAAATTAATATCAACATTAATAAAAACTGTCATGTTTATCTGCAAGCAGATACATAACATATTCACATTGATTTTTTTTTTTCTTTCCCTTTTGTTGGAATTAAGCTTTTCAGCAGCATGATGCAATTGATACACTATAAATAGAAGTTGTCTTGAGGATAGAATTGATTGTAGCATTGATGTGGTAGCTTTCTCTTATTGATACTAGCGTTAAGATGCGATACCTGGCTAAACAGTGTATATAGTATCAAGCAATAAAACCTCATAGCACTTATTAAAAAAATGTAAATACAACTTGTTTTCTTGTTAATTGAGGCACAGTGGAATTTTGAATTGGAACTTAAAGCAGGTTTATGACTATTTCAGGTATGAAAGGACTGTCATTTCCCTTGGAGGAATTACTAGCGTGCTGTATCTTTGCACGCTCTGAATATAAAGTCAAGTCCTGTGCATGTTTGCAGAGATATTGAGACACATATTTGGGCAGCACAGCTAATTCTCAGGCTTTTTATTTGCTTCCCTAATACAAATAATCTTTGGGAGATTGGCAAAATGTAATTTTCAGAATATTCGTGGATATTTGCTATTTATCAAGATGAATCAGCAGATGAGTATACTGAAATACAGTGCAGCAAGAGAGGAGTTCTTATAGGTAATTCCAGATGACTTAAAGGATTTTAAACAATAGCATTGTATTGTTTAAGGGTTTAAAAAGCATCTGGTTTAGGGGAATATAATGCTACTGTCATATCCATACCATCATGGCTAGAATATCAAATTTATGCAGGGAACCTAAGGGTGGGTTGGGAGACAGAGGAAGCAGCCTGTCAGTTTGGCATCAGCCCAGTAAAATCACTTACTTGGTGCTGCAGATTAAATATCTACTGGCATCTGTATAATTTTGTCAGGTCCATCTTTGGCTTTTACATGGGCTAAATGGCACAAATTCTGCCTCTCTCTGTGACTGTCCAAGTAGATAATATGCTTCTCAGAGCATGGGAGTGCTTCAGTATTATGTGTAATGTAAATGTCTAGGGTGTGCACACCAAGCCAGAGAAGGCCAACTTAATATTTTGGATAAAATTGCTACCGGAAAGAGGAAATTACTTTCTCTCTGAATGGGAAGGGAGTGTGAAAACAATGGGTGTGACGGATACCTTCATTATGTCTTTGATTTGGTAGAAACAAGTCTTTGACTACTTTAGTTAAGGACAATTCACATACCACAAACTTCACGCAGTTCAGACCCTGTTACTTATTGACTGTGCAAGATCTGAATTGCCAAACTGTAGTCTGTTACCTGATCAATTGAAAGTTTGTTATGTATTTTTTCATATTTTTTCCCACGTTCTTCCTGTTTTCTTCTGTGGAGCACTTCTCTGTGTGTGTTCCCACCTCGAGTTTGAATTCTGGTTTAAACAGAAATTTTAGGAGCTGGTTGATAAGTACTCATCCCTCTCCAGGGTCTATTCCTGCTCTTTCTCTCCATGTTTACTTTTAAGCTTTTCATTTTAAGAAGTTTTACTCACACTTGACAATATTTTGAAGAGTGGGAAAAATACAGAATAAGAAAGCTATTTTCAGTGAAATGTCATGGAAAAATGGCGTGTTACTTAGTGTATCTGTGCCCTACGTGGATTTGCAATATTATCTTCTGTCCTTGGCAGGAATTGAGTTTTCCTTTTCTTGCATCTGCATAGCTAAACTGTTGTAGAACAACGACATGGAGCCTCTCTTGGCTTGCCCCTCAAGAAAAGCGTGGCAGGTGCTGCCAGAGTGTCTTGAGCTGAATACCTGCCTGACCAGGATGTCTGTGAAATAAGGGTTGCAGGTGCTGGTATCTGAGTTAGAAAGATCTGCATTGGCTTTCAGGTACCAGACTGATTATGCAGGTCTGAGAGATTAAAAACCCAAAGAATCAAAAACCCTAACATTTTTTTTTCTTTTCAGGATTGGAAAAAAAAAAAGTGTTACTGTTGGTGAGGGGAACAGGGAATAAGTTGGTATTGATGGGCTTTATCTGGGGTGTGGTTTTTTGTTTTGTGGTTGTTTTTTTTTTTTTACCTTTTTATGCTACATTTCAGTTCAGAAGAATGCTTCAGTTCCTCAAAAATAAGTAGATCAATTTTATTTCCATGGAATGCTTATAACACTCAAGTTCTGTAGCTATTATTAAAAAAAAATTATGGATAAAATTATCAAAAAGAATGTGTTAATTCAGAGTTTGCTTTCTATTGCAGTTCCCGGAGTGTGGTTTCTTTGGCATGTATGACAAAATTCTCCTCTTCCGTCATGACCTGAACTCAGATAATATTTTGCAACGGATTACATCAGCAGAAGAGATACATGAGGGAGATCTTGTTGAGGTTGTACTCTCTGGTAGGTATTGTTGTTACCTACCTGTGGAACAGCACTTTATTCAGTAGATTAGAAGAAGATAGGACTTTATAGAACATTGTTATCATGCTTGCCTTGAGCTCTTTGACTTAAGGCTCACACTGCGTCACTGGTTTTGGGTAGAGGTTTCCAGGAGAATCCAAGCGGTACTGATACTTCAGTACTGGGTTTTGTTATTGTTTTATTGTCGTGTTTTAATATTCAGGTTTATTATTACAAATAAATCAACTATAAGAATAATATTTTATAATTATATATATGTATTGTTATATTTATTGAAGCTGAAATGCAGGTAGGGTTCAGGATTTTCTCTTTCAACCCTGTTGTTAGCTTTCTTTTGCTTACATCTGTTTGTTCTGTAGCTTTTGCCGTTGATGGTTTATACTGCTAAAATGCTTCATATAAATGTACTTGCTGAATCATACCCGTAAGGACAGAATTTTAAGGGTTATTGTAGTGTTTGAAAACAGTTTATTTTAGACTATAAAGTCCTTAAAGTGTTGGTGGTCATTAACCTGTAGTATTCTTCAATAATGATGACAAAACCCCCCCAAACCTTAACTGATTTGAATTGTATGTCTTTCATCAATACCCTGTCGAATTCAACCAAAAGCCAGCTGTAATTAAACTACAAACAGAAGCTGGAGTAATATTGAGCAGTTCTTTCAGACTTTGAGGACTGAGTGCCCAACTGAGCTTATGTTCTAGAAAGAGAGATCTCCTGGCTGTCATGGGTTTAGATTTGTAAAATGGATCAATAGTGTGATTTCCAGAGTCACAAGGCTGGGTTCCCTGGCTGCATTTCAGGACCTACTGTTCTAGTCATGTCTAGGATGTTCACTAGTTGATCATCTTGGTTTGAGCTTTTTATGGCTTCTGGTGAATGGCCTATTTGGAAAATTTGTCTTGACAGTCTGACAGACCACCAGAAACTGAGGCATTTTGAAGACAGGTAAATATCTTTCAGTAGGGTTTTAAAACTGAGACATGAGAATCTGAAGTGATAGTACATATTTGATCAAAGAATAGTAGCCACCAGGGCAAGGTAATGTTGGTGTAAAATACTTATTTATTTATTTATTTTTTACATTCCAGAGAAAGAGGACAAAAAATCTATTTAAATATACCAATGCTTGCTTAAGAAAAAGAACATTACTAGTGAAGTTTCCAGTGTTCCATGGAAATTCTATCCACAGTTCTGTATTAATACAGAGTTCAATCTAATAAGCTTTTACTGAAAAAATCCTTTAGAAGATCAAAATCTAGCCTGTAGAACTGTCCTTCGAAAATTTTGTAGGTTACAAAAGAGCTTGAAAATTAAGTTGCTCTTTCAAATATTTACTGTTAAGTTGATATTAACAAAGCTTGTTGTATTTGCCTTCTCAGCTTGGTGAGGTTTTCAACATTGACTCATACTGTTGATTAGTTGTGGCCATTAGCCTACAGAATGCAACTTTTTTCTCCTCAATAAACAAGCTTACTGAAAACTATGTAGTGTTCTAAATGCATATTTAAATGCTGTACAGTGAAATGCTGATGTCTAAATGGCTCATTAGTGTTCTTTGAATCTGCTATTTTTAAAACAACATGTTCTTTCCATAAACCCTTGTTGATCCTGTGGCAAGAACCATAACTTACTGCAATTTTTTAAAAGCTTTGGCTACAGTTGAAGATTTCCAGATTCGTCCTCATGCACTTTATGTGCATTCCTACAAGGCTCCTACTTTTTGTGACTACTGCGGAGAGATGCTTTGGGGTTTGGTACGACAAGGTTTAAAATGTGAAGGTAAGTTTGTGATTTTTAGTGTGGTTTTGTGTGTCTATATCTATATAAGATGAGGAGGAAGAAGAAATTGTATCTTGTTCGATATGTTACCCCATGATAAAGGTAGTGTTTCGTAGAGTTGGAAGGGGTTGTGCATCAGGGAACCCGAGTTTTGATCCCAGCTTTAAGGCAAACGGTGTGTGACCTTGGGCAAATGACTTAAGAATTGTTCTTGGTTCTCATTTAGAAAAAAAAAAAAGGCTAGCTTACAAGTGTGTGTTCTTTGCACAAGGAGCACATGCTTTGGAAAGACTCCCGAAGGGGAATCCCTTTCCTTATGGCCTTCATCCAGCTGGCCGTGGAGCACGCTGCAGCCTGCTGTCAGGTACTGACGCTGCCTGCTCACTGGCTTCTGGTCCTCCAAAGTGAGGGAGTGATGAAAGCCTCCTGGTGGGGGAGAAGTGAGGAGGGCAATCAGCTGCTTTGGAGTCTTAGCCCTTGTTTCTAGAGCTGATCTTAGTGGAGAACAGTATTATAGCAAGTAGTGCACAAAAAGCTGTTTCTGTGGATCCCATCAAGAACACTAAAAGAAGAGAATTTAACAGAACAATCTATTTCTGACTTTACCATTTTCCTGGATCATCTTTTTAACTGCTTTATCAAAATATTAGTACTGGTTTTGTTACTTGGAACGCTGGGAGTTTTTTCTCTAAAGAACATTTTCTTTCAGGTTGTGGGTTAAACTACCATAAGCGATGTGCCTTCAAGATTCCAAATAACTGCAGTGGAGTGAGAAAGAGACGTCTGTCTAACGTGTCTTTACCAGGAGCAGGGCTTTCAGTTCCAAGACCAGCACAAGCTGAATACACATCCTCTGCCTCTGAAGAAGTATGTAATGTGAAAGGGGAAACAATTTCTGGTTTTAAATCCTTTAACCTCTGGGGAACTAGCTAGTGTTGCAAGTGGCTCTTAATGAGTACAAGGGAGTTGAGCTTAACCGTTATGATTGGGTTTAGTTAATTTTTAAATCTGGTGAGTCTTACTGTGACTGTGACACTTACTGATAACTATTATTACTGTGAGAAATGAAAAGGGAAGTAAATTATAACTTTTATATAAAATTTTGTTACTAGCCTGCCACTCGTGGTTATATGAACTCTGGTTTCAGGAATGATAAAACACCTTGCCTTCTTTGTAATACAGATTCATTCTGTAATTGTGGTATCAGTATAGAATAGTTACTTGGCTAAAGCAGTACAGATTGTAAGCTTTTATCCTGGAAGAGGAGAGAGGGTGTTCCTGATATGATGTTACGCTTTTCACAGAGTTAATCTAAAAAAAACCAAACCCTATCAAGGAGAGGGTAGGGGATGAAGGGCTTACAGTAAAAATCATCATCCATAATGGTTATTTGTTACAGTTGTTATGATGATTGCTGAGAGGTTATTGATGATATAACTATATTGGGATCTTAAGACAGGGCAAACAGATCCATTTGTTTTATTGCTGCTTTCACTGTGGGATAAAAGCAGTGCTTTTGATGATTAGTCTCTCCTACTTATCTATTTCTATTACTTTACAGTATACTGTACTTTACTTACATTCTTACTGTAGTTTAAAATACAAATTGTATAGATTTTTCTAGTTCAAGAACATGATTTTTTTTTTAGCTAGAGGCTATGAAGCCTGGTCTTGAGTAGTGAAAAATATTTATTCTGATTATTGGGAAGATTTATTCAGTGAACATAGAATTGTAAGCATTTCTCCTCTCATGGAATTCAACTTTGATTTCTACATGCGTGTTTAGTACTTCTTTGACACCTCTTCTTTGCTATCCAATTTTGAATATTTGGCTTAGAGAATCAGCAATATATTATCACATTTGCAGTTCATCTTTCCACAGTCTTAAAATATATTAGGTCACATGTACAGGACCATGTTCCTTTACATTTTTATGTAGATGTATGTAACTG